CCCCTTAGAAGTCTTGGTCTTTGACAAGTGTCTTTACGAAAGCCAGCCGATAGGCTAGGCTGAGGTGCTGGATGGGCGAACGAAGTGAGATGAATTAGGGGGTGTGGGGGGGCGAGAGAAGTTTCGTCACATCATCACCAAACATTTGGCCGGAACCAACCTAGCGGAAAGCCGTCTGTGTTTGTTCACAACTTTCTCGAAGGGACAACACGTCCAATAAACAAAGCCTCTGTTCTTCAAGTTGGAGTCCCGAGGAATCAGTTCGAGCGATGAAGTACAAATGGTTTTTTCGCATGACACACACAATGCATCCACCAATTTTGGCAACAGATTCATCCGTCGTTTTGGAACTAATTACTGTAATGCCTTTTTGTTGTGGTGTATTTCATACCACAGTTGTCTCACCACTGTTCCCACACGACTGGGTTTTTGCGCAAGTCAATGACCTCGCTATTCGTTTGAATTTTCTCACACTATAAGACACTATAAGACACTGACCTGAAGGGTGTCAAGAGCCTTGCGATCTGTCAAAAGGTGACAGTTCCTCCTTGAGGTGACAGGTCAGCCCGACTGGCATGCGAATCATCGGTAAAGGTGAGAAATGGGAGTTCATGGATGTCTCGAGGAAACGTCAAACCAAGTTCTCAATCAACTCTTTGAAGACTACGCAACTTATTGGCGTGCAACAGATCTTGCACAGTAGCAGTGTTTTGATGTCCTTGTGAAATGGACGTTGAAGCTGGGATCCACTGCACCGTCTGTGTGCCTCGCCAAGCGACTTCCTGGGGGTCCTCGGAGAGCCTCTTTGATTTCTCATCGGCACTGGCCTTTGCTTCTGGAGATTGTTTTCTTTCACGATCAAGGGTCATTTAGCTAATTTCAAAAGCATCTCTCTCTTGTTTCAGTTATATTCGATCGTTTTTCTGATTGTGTTCACATCCACAGAAAACATCTGTCTCTTTCAAGGGATCTTTCCAAGATCCAAAGGAAAACAGTCTGCAATCTCCTTATACAGTCCTTATTGGGCACCTCATGTGTTTGATTTATAGATAGATAGGTAGATAGATGGATAAGTAGATAGGTAGATAGGTAGATAGATAGATAGACAGATAGATAGACAGAGAGATGGACAGACAGACAGATAGACAGATAGATAGGTAGGTAGGTAGATAGACGGATGGATGGATGGATGGATGGATAGATGGATAGGTAGGTAGGTAGATAGGTAGATAGGTAGGTACCCAGATAGGCAGATAGGTAGGTAGATCAGATAGATAAGCTTTTCAAATTTCAATCGTTTCTCAGAGGATTGAGAAAAAGGGGGAACAGAGTATTTCACCATGCCTAAAGCATCTCGTCTCAGGTGGGGGTGGGACGCCTGGTGCTTCCAAGGCGACTGGCATCCCAATGCGTCGGACACTGCCATTTGAAGCATTTTTGATGATGCTTAGTTTATGCAGCGGAAAACCAACAGTTCTCACCTTGTTAACTTTATGTGCGTTCTGGCTTTGACAACAGACAACTTTATATAATCGAGCACGTTGCCCCAAAAGTTTATATGAATGTTTGCTCGTACCGGCAGGTTCCTTTTCTCATGTTGACACTCTGAGAGGTGAGAGTAGTTTTGAGCCCTGCGGGCTCCATCCCAATTTGTAGATTTCGGTCTCTGGCGCTGGCTGATTTGGTGTCGTTTGTATGACGGAAAAGATGCTTGAGTGGGATGCGGTGAGATTTGGCGATTCATTGATCCCCTACGAAAAGCATGAGACAACAGTTGAAATTGGTTACGCATCAAGACTGTTCTGACATTGCGGAAGGATTCGCTGATGCAAAATTTGAGCATGAACTGAAAAGCCAGCCCGAGCCTGATGCGACTGCCATCAAGGCGATGCACCGGATTGCTGAATAAAAAACTGACTTTGCAGGTTTGGAACAATCTTGCAAGTATCGGACAAGTACAATTGGAATGGCCAAAGTTGAGTCTTGATTTGCCAGACGAATTTGCAACACAAAATGAACGGACATCAACGGTCGTCAAAGGCAAATGTAGGTTTTGCCGAACACAACCGTCCACGAGACCGTCCCTTGCCGTGTTCCACACTGGACACCTGGTCTTGATCGCAACCGGGCCTTGAAACCTCGGACCTTGGACATCGCGTTTTGATTGGTTGGTAGGCCTGGTAGGCCTGGAAGGCTTGGCTCAAGTCGGTTTCAGCGAACGAAGTGAGGTGGGGGGGGAGAGCCAAATGAGTATACACTAGTATATATAGACCCTTTTTTTTCCTTGTTTGTGTCAGGATCTGCGGGGAACTCTCAGGAAAAGCGCTTGTTGAGGAGGCCAGTTTTTGAAAGTTGGTGATGCAGAAAATTATACCAAACAAATGAGCATCACCGGAACGAAAACCAGTAGAATTGAGTGAGAAACTCGTGGTTGTAAGGTAAGTGATGGAGGGTTAAGCTGCAATCACTCCAGTCCATTTTGTTTCACCAGGTGATTCCCCTATACAGCAGTGATCCGCTAGCATGCACACGGGTCGCTTGCAGGCTTTGGTCGCAGTGTTTGTGATGAAGAAATACGCCAAAATAGTCCAAACAGCTGTGTTCATGGACACTGTGCTGTATTTGTGCTTTGTGACAGTTCCCTCACAACCAGGACCTGCGTACGAGAAATTCTATTGGCTTTTTGTTCTTCCTCTTTCAGTTTTTTGCATTCTGGAGTTGTTTCTGATCTTGTCGCAATGCGTCTACCCTATTCATCTTCCTTTCGAGAGAAACGGATGGCATTTGTTTTCGAGACCCTCGTGAGCTTTCCCATCCAAGTCCTTATCGGGTCAGTCATACCGTGTATTTGTTTAAGAGTGGAAACTGCACATACTTGCACCTTGTGTTCTTTTTCATTGCCAAGTCTTGAAACATCCCTTCCGGAGGTTTGGGAAACTGTTTATGCCTGCGCACAATTAAGAGAGATCTGATCTTCATGTTTGGGCCATCAACTCCACAGTAGTGCATGCCACCGCTATATATTTGTTGCTGCATGACTTTAATATATATATATATATATGTTAAGCATTTTTGCATCAACTCTTCTTGGTGGTGTTTCGGTCCAAAACCCAGCATGACGCTTGTCATGCAGCGTGCAAAATGAAGTGGGCTACATGTCCAACTTGAGGACGCCCAGCCGTCGGGGCGTAGGGATCGCTGTCGGGGAGGGTTGGATCGCCCAGGGTTTTCGGATCGAGGTCACCGGAAAAGACGGAGTCTTTTTGGGTGCCAACCTTCCTGAGTTGATTAGGGGACACACCAAAAATATGTAAACAACTTTCAACCATCCTTGCCAACCTTGAAATCTTTGCGAAGGATGGCACGAGCGTTGGCATCCTTTGCTGCCGTGTCTCGGAATTGTCAATTATTTTTGCCTGTTTTGCGTCAACTCACGCAAGCTGCAGGCTCCGGAGGTTCCCAGTTGCCTGTTCTTGTGTACCATGCTGAGGTGCTCATAGCATGTGAAGCAGTCAAATCAAGTTCTCGCCGATGACTCAGTTGATTTGACAGATTCACTTGATGTTTGACTGTTTGTAGTCGCGATCAAAAACAACCCTACTTGATCTTTTAAACGTTTGAATTGCTCCGTTTTGTTGCATCTTGTCCTGTCCCAACTCCCGTTCCTTTTTAGGAGCTGGGACTTTAAGCTATGCAAATGCTGCAGGCAATGGCAAATACATTTTGAGGTTCATTGTCGTTGGACACTTGCGCAAGTTCGTGTCGCTTGGGGAATTACGGCATGCAATGGTGTCCAGTAGTATCTGGTGCCCCGGTCGTGTTGTGATGGTGTCCCGGTCATGTTGTGACGGTGTCCCGGTCATATTTTGATGGTGTCCCAGTCATGTTTTGATGGCGTCCCGGTCATGTTGTGATGGTGTCATGTTTTGATTGTGTCCCAGTCATGTTGTGATGGTGTCCCGGTCATGTTGTGATGGTGTCCCGGTAATGTGATGGTGTCCAAGGAAGAGATGGTCGATGTGTTGAAAGCAGCAACTGTTTCCAGATGTTGCTTTTTGTCCCGGTTTGTATCTTGCTATTGGGGTCTCCAGCTGGGCTAATTTCAATTTGCACATGGCAGGCAGCCCCATTGTAAAAGCTGTGGAGATGTTGGAGGATCTTCAGGCCACCCGCCGCGTAAAGCCAGAAACACGATCATAGAAACATGATGATCTCCTGTAGGAATAGATTTGTTGACATCCTCAAGTGTTCCGGGCACATTTCGTGAGCAAGATGTTTCGGCTGTGGCATTCGAGGAGTCCTCGAGGGACTCCACATGCATTCGAGGAGTCCTCGAGGGACTCCACATGTGTTCTTCGAGTTATCATGGAAAAGGTGAAATGTGGCTGAAGTTTGCATCTTGGGTGCTGCTGCCAAAAAATTGGCATTTGAATGGTTGGGTCCGGGGTTTTGTTGTTGCATTGGACAGTTGTCCTGCCAAGTTTTTGGCCAAGTTGTTCCTGACGTGTAACCTCTTTATCTCAAGCAAACCAGTGGCGGTTGAAGGGCACGATTCTTCACCACTTCACCAGGTTTTTTCCTCAAAAGACACCTTTTCGGAACAAACCACTTGTTTGAAACATGTTTTTGGAGACCTCTACAGACCACTTCCACCATTCTTGGGACCTCCACTCCGTCTCCTGAGTCACCTCGCCAGACCAAAATCACCGACGCAGCCAAGCAGGAGCAAGACTCGTGCGCCACGTTTTAATCTGACACCGTTTAAGAAACAGATGGACTCGTGCCAACGAATCAAATCTCGTTGAAACTTCTCTCTACAATGAGCTGCTTATCTACAGCTTAAACATCGGAAAGATGTGGGTGCATCTCAAAGGATGAAGACTCCCAAAAGACCTTGGGAAATTTGAAAGGATAGACCGCAACCCAGTTTCATTGCACATACATTTAGGAAACGTTTCGCAGACAGCCTCCAAAATTTGCAGCACCTTTGCAGCTCGTTCCCGCAGCTTGCGGCACAAACGCCACTAACTTGTCTGGCGCAGAGACTGGCCCAGCCAGCATGTGTTGTTTTTGATTTTTTTTAGTATGTATTCAGAGAGATGTTTCTGAACTGGACATGGACGTCAATGTCAGACACAAGAATCATAAACACGGCTGTGCAAACTGTTCTCTTTTCTTGAAACGTTCTATATAATTAGACTGTTTTCATTTTTTTTGCATTAATCGATTATGTTGCCAGACCATTTTTTCAAGACGTAACCCAAAACAGCTCAATGAGCTCTGTACCTGTACAATGTGCCAGGCATCAGTATGTCTACAACGTTTACACCGGTCGAGTCTGGCATAGGAGGCTGAAATGTATGTTTGCGTGTGAGAGAGGTTGCTAGCTTCATCAGTTCTGCAGAAGAGGGTTGCATGTACCGTAAAAGGTAGGTATTCACATCTGAATGGTGGATTTGTATGCATCCACAATGAGAATTCATTTATACAATCTGTATTGCGAAAGCCAGCCGATAGGCCTCGATGGGTGAACGAAGTGAGTAATAGGGGTGTGGGTCGGGGTGGTTGTAAATCTGGCCCGGTTGGGTAGGGTGAAGCAGAGAGGGTCACAAAAAGGTCTTGAACATGTGTGTTTTTTACGGGTCTGGTGATGCTATTGACCAGGGATGGGAGTTTTGGGTAGAGGACAGGAAAGGGGAGACTGCGTGACAGGAAATGCAACAAACAAGGTCACCACACACTGAGGGAGGTGACCAGGCTCACCAGGTGTATCCATCCACTCTGTGCAAGCAAGAGTCTTTAAGCTCTAAATTCTCATAGAGAGAGCGTTCGGACAACTCAGGAGGACAGGAGAGGAAAGAGGCAGGAGCTTCTGAGTTTCTTGGGGGTGCCCTTTTGTATTGTGAAAAAGGGCTGTTTGCGGGAAGAAAAAGGGCACCCCCCAGAGTTATGTACGGATCCAAGTCTATCCTACGACTAGTATCAGCGGAAGGGAGTTGATCTAGGCGTTGTGCATATAGGCTCGATCATATCGAGCCTCAATGCGAAACTTTGCGTCTCTTTGCCTTCTGTTTTCCCTTGCCTAATAAGAGTAGAAGTAACTGCAAACTCGACTTCGCCCTATGAGAACAAGACTATATTCACCAAAAAGGATGGGAACCATACTGCACTTGTCCAGGATCTCACGAAACCGTCACGAGTTGTGGACATGTCCACTAATGATGTCGTGTCTGTTTTGCTTTTCTGCCTTTCGCCGCCCACCTCACCACAACAGTCCACGCCGAAGCGGGTGCCAAAATGCAACCTTCGTGTTGAAGAAGCGTCTCCCGACCATGGCTGGCAGCTATTCGCCTGCGCAGGCGCACCCACTGGTTGACATGTTGCGCTGACCACCAAAACGGCCAGCCAGCCACAACCTCCGTGGTCACAACTTTGGATCGATCGAGAAGGCATCACTGGGTCTCACTCCCAGCTTTCTTGGGAACATGCCCACCAGAATGGTGAGCCTGGCTGAATATTCCTTGTGGTCACATTTTGAAAAAATGACCACGCAAGTTCAAACAGCATCGCGAAATTGCAACATGAGATGCTACGTGTCTAGAAATCGTATTGCGCATGCCTGACCGCTATCGTATTGCGCATGCCTGACCGCTCTCTTCAAACTCTCATTTAAGCTTTGGTCGCCTTTCGGAAATATGGCCACGAGCGTTGGCCAGAGGCACAATCTCTGTGGTCAGAACTTTGTCTGGCCAACCTGTCTCGACATTCCTCCTGGAGCTACAACTGTGGCTGAAGATTAGAGAAAAGGAACCAGAGTGATGTAGAAATCAAAAGCGGACCATCCTATAGCCACTAATGTCAACCCCGGATTAATAAGCCCCCCCCCACCCCCCCCACATGGTAGGTCAACAAGGTCAAGATGATATGAGATTCCATTCATCAGGTCCCCTCCCCCTGAATTATCTGCTCAGGGAGCAATCGTAGTCGCAGCCGTTGACGGTAGTAGGTAGTAGGTAGTAGGTAGTAGGTAAAGGTAGGTGGTAGGTAGTAGGTAAAGGTACTAGGTAGTAGGTAGTAGGTAAAAGGTAGTAGGTAGTAGGTAGTAGGTAAAGGTAGTAGGTAGTAGGTAGTAGGTAGTAGGCAGTAGGTAGTAGGTAGTAGGCAGTAGGTAGTAGGTAGTAGGGTAGTAGGTAGTAGGTAGTAGGGTAGTAGGCAGTAGGCAGTAGGTAGTAGGTAGTAGGTAGTAGGTAGTATGTAGTAGGTAAAGGTAGGTAGTAGGTAGTAGGTAGTAGGTAGTAGGTAAAGGTAGTAGGTAGTAGGTAGTGGGTAATAGGTAGTAGGTAGTAGGTGAAGGCAGCAGGCAGCAGGCAGCAGGGAGTAGGCAGCAGGCAGCAGGCAGTAGGTAGTAGATAGTGGGCAGTAGGTAGTAGATAGTGGGCAGTAGGTAGTAGGTAGTAGGTAGTAGTTGTAGTAGTTGTAGTGGTGGTAGTAGTAGTAGTAGAAGCAGTAGGAGCCGCAGCTGCAGTAGTAGTGGTAGTGGTAGTCGCAGTAGCAGCAGCAGTGGTGGTAGTAGCAGTCACAACAAGTTTGAACAAGCGCAAAGAAAAGGCCAGGGACACAGGATCAAATTAATAGGGGGTAGTAGTGCAGATTGTTGATGAGGGACCGGCCCTTTGGTGATCTTGTCAAATGATTGTTTTTAATTGTTTTTAACAAGGCAATTTAGAGGCCCTGAGCCCTAGACATTTTTAAGGATTTCATCAAGCATCTATTATAGTAGGTGGTAGGTGGTGATGGTGGTGGTGGTGGTCGTGGTAGTAGCAGTAGCAGTAGCAGTAGCAGTAGCAGAGCAGTAGCAGTAAAAGTAGCAGCAGCAGCAGCAGGAGCAGTGGTGGTGGTGGTGGTGGTGGTGGCAGTAGTAGTAGTAGTAGTAGTAGTAGTAGTAGTAGAGTAGTAGTAGTAGTAGTAATGTAGTAGTAGTAGTAGCAGTAGCAGTAGCAGTAGCAGTAGCAGTAGCAGTAGCAGTAGTAGTAGTAGTAGCAGTAGTAGTAGTAGTAGTAGTGTAGTAAAGTAGTAGAGTAGCGTAGTAGTAGTAGTAGCAGCAGTAGTCGTGGTAGTAGTAGAGTAGCGTAGTAGTAGTAGCAGCAGTAGTCGTGGTAGTAGTAGTAGTAGTAGTAGTAGTAGGAGTAGGAGTAGGAGGAGTAGGAGTAGGAGTAGGAAGTAGGAGCAGCAGCAACAGCAGCAGCAGCAATAGCTAGTAGCAGTAGCAGTAGCAGTAGTAGCAGTAGCAGTAGTAGCAGTAGCAGTAGTGTTAGCAGCAGCAGCAGCAGCAGCAGCAGCAGGAGGAGGAGGAGGAGGAGGAGTAGTAGTAGTAGTAGTATTATAACGAACTAGACGACGGTGGGCCCGAAAGTGAGATATGTAATTGTCCAGCACTGTCGAAAAGATGTATAGAAAGAGAGAAAGAGAGGGTGTATGTGAAGGAGTGACAGTGTGGATGTGCAGGTGCGATATAGATCTGTAGCTGTATGGAGGTGGAGAGGTAGATCTGTGGATGGGAGCGTGCGAAGATGTAAATGCACAGAGACGAGAGAAAACATATGTAGAAAGAAAGAAAGACAGGACAGATGTGATGATGTGAAGGAGCGATAGTGTGGATATACAGATGTGATATAGATGTGAAGATGTGTGGGCGTGGTGAGGTAGATCTGCGGATGTGAGCGTGTGAAGATATAAATGTAGAGAGGTGTGGGGGTGTAGACGTAGATGTCCTGATGCAACGGCAGCGCAACGCCAACCTTAGTTGTGCAAGTGCAACGCTGAAGAGGTTCAATTAGAACTGAAGAACATACATTTCACACTGAAGTTTCCACGAACAGGGCGACCTCAGAGTAAACGACGTCACGATCATGACAAGCGACTCGTGTATTCCAAGCGAACATCGTTTGTCATAAAAGTGAAGTACACACATACTAACGTCACGATGACTCTTTTGTGGCAGCCACTTACGAGTAAGCAAAGTATCTAAAATTTGTCAACCTCCCGGGTGGTCGGGAGACATGACTCAGCTGCAGGGGCGCCAGAGCAGCCACGAGAGATGACTCAGCCGCGAGAAATGACTCATCCGCGTACTAAAGTTCTACTACAAAGTCGCCAGTTCTCATCTTCCAGCTCCACAGTTTGCTCCGCGTACTAAAGTTGTACTAGAAAGTCGCCGGTTCTCGTCTTCCAGCTCCCCAGATACTCGGCGTACTAACGTTGTACTACAAAGTCGCCAGTTCTCAGCTTCCAGCTCCACAGATTGCTCCGCGTACTAAAGTTGTACTAGAAAGTCGCCAGTTCTCATCTTCCAGCTCCCCAGATACTCCGCGTACTAAAGTTGTACAACAAAGTCGCCAGTTCTCAGCTTCCAGCTCCATAGATTGCTCCGCGTACTAAAGTTATACTACAAAATCGCCAGTTCTCATCTTCCAGCTCCCCAGATACTCCGCGCGCTAAAGCTGTACTACAAAGTCGCCAGTTCTCCTCTTCTAGCTCCCCAGATACTCCGCGCACTAAAGTTGTACTACAAAGTCGCCAGTTCTCAGCTTCCAGCTCCACAGATTGCTCCGCGTACTGAAGTTGTACTACAAACTCGACACGCGCGATCTCCGCAGAGGGTTGCGCCGGACCGGCGCCCTCGACACGCACGATCTCCGCAGAGCATTGCGGCGGACCGGGCCAAATCGCGCTCTCGTCTGCATTTCGCGCCCTCGACACGCACGATCTCCGCAGAGGGTTGCGCCGGACAGAGCCAAATCGCGCTCTCGCCTGCATTTCGCGCCCTCGACACGCACGATCTCCGCAGAGGGTTGCGTTTCGTGGTGCTCCGGCGGCACGGCCCCCGGCCTTGAGAGAGAAAGTAAAGAAGAGCGAGAGGTGAAGATGTGAGATGTGAACATGAGCAGAGATGTAGATGTGTGAAGATGAAGATGAGCAGAGATGTCGATGTGAGGTGAGATGTGATCATGAGCAGAGATGTAGATGTGTGAAGATGAAGATGAGCAGAGATATCGATGTGAGGATGTGAAGATGAGCAGAGATGTAGATGTGCAGATGTGAATGTAGATGTGAAGATGAGCAGAAATATAGGTGAGGAGGTGGATGTGCAGAGGTGAAGATGTGAAGATGTAGATGAGACGTAATTTTGCAGATGTTTTTTTTACGAAGAACCCTTCGCAGACGCTCTCGGGAAAAATTGACCTGGTTGTGGGCTCGGATTAACTGGGGGGGATTGTTGGTAGAAAACTAGACCATAGGGGGGGTCAACCAACAGCCAATAATATTTTTAATTTGGGCAATTTCCGGCGGCTTTGTGGGCTCGGGTTTTAGGGGGGGTTTATGAATCCTGACTCGACATTAATGGTGGATTGATCAAGGCCTTGTGTATATAGACCGTGTCAGATGGACCCTCAATGCGAAACTTTGCGCCTCTCTGCATTCTCTTTCCCCATGGCTAACAGCAGTAGAGGTCCGTGCAATGCCGACTTCACTTTATAACTTGTACATATATATATATATACAGTATATTCTTACAGCGGCCGGCTTTCGTCCCTTTTTTCTCAGGTATACAATGTATATACAATGTCTACACTAGCCTGTGCCGTTTTTCCCGAGGCTCAACTGGAGCTTCAACATATGAAGGGACGCTTTTTGACCACGTCGACCCCGTGGCGCGCTCCGTCAGGAGCCCTCATTGGTCTCTCTGCCTTTGTGGCATATCAAGCAGATGGCACCTGGGAGAACTGAAAAGCTGACAGGGTTGTTTTGGAAGATGGGAACTGAGGGTATTGGCATTATTGGCAACTGGAAAGTTGATCAACTTCTGTGGAAATCGTTTTGCTGAGTTTAGGCCCGCATTTTTTCACACGTTGGCATTGTCCATCAGGAAAGATCATTGGAATCAGTGGCATCTTGGGGCCCTTTCTTCGAAGCGAAGCTTGGTCGTGAAGGACCGACCGTGATGGGTGAATTCGCTCCATTGGGCCCCTGCGTTTTTGTGGAGTTTTTCGGTGGATGGATTTTGGTCACTGGATTTTTTCCGGAGATTCTTCGCCGACTTTAGTCTGGTTGCTAGTTGAGGCCATGTAAGTCTTCCCTAAAAATCTAGGAACCACATGAACGTGCGAGTGCTTCTTCAAGGAAACTCCCCCTGTCCTCAAGGAGGGGGGAACTTCCTTGAAGAAACGTGAGCTATCCTGCATTCATCTTGCCCTTACTTAATCAAGTAGGCGCCTACTTAATCAAGTAAGAGTGAGGGCACTGGGCCCAAAAAAAGTAAACATTGTGAAGCATGCAGCGAAGCATGCGCATCTGCCGCATTCGTTTCGTCATCTTGCATTTTGGCTGCCCAAGGTGGTGAAATGTGAGCTTGGGAACGAGCTGTGGAAGCTGTGGTTTTTGGTTGGCCTGTTTGCTGGAGGCAGGTGATGGGGCGAATATGCTTGTTTGTCAAGTACAAACTGAGAAGTTTCGGCTGTGCTTCCTGCAGCCTAAAGGGAGTCTTCACGTCCATTCCGCACACCGATTCGAAGCCCCTTGAGTGTCAATGGGACATCCTTCTTACCAGCAGAGGGTCTGACGGTCTTGAGATGGGGTGCCACTGGCAGCACATACATCATCATACATCCAGATCCATCCTGTCAGGTTTCGTCAATTTCCTCTTCAATCAACCCTTTGCCTTCCCGGGAGCTGAGCCCTATTCCATCTCACGCTACGCTGTAGCGGGGCTGGTGCTGGGCCTGGGCACTCGATTTCAAAGGCACCGGTCGTCACGGATTCAGAGACCTCACACGATCTTGCACTTGAGCAAAGCAGATTTGTTTGCCTTCCCCACAGCAATCCAGATTTTGTTGTCCCAAGAGTGTATGAGATACGATGTTTTTGTCATTGGAACCAGAATGCCATTGAGTGCTTCCGACAAAGACAAACACCATGGCACTTGAGTATTTTAATCTGTACTTTGCGGTCATGAGATGCATCTTTACATCTCGCTCTGCTTGCAGGGGTTGCACCTCTGGACATGGCATTTGTGGCCTACCACGTTTCAGCATGCGCAGTTTGCTGGCGGTGCCAACCTTTATGTTATTTGCAGGTTGCCGGGAGACCTGGCTTCGGATGTGAGGAAGTGATCAAGTCACAAACGGCTGTTTTGACTTTGCAAGTTGTCCACACCGCATCTTGCCAGTGGTGGTCTACATGACCCGACACGTGATGAAGCTGGACCAGCCAAAGATGCCTGGCATTGCTTCATTGGAATGGCCTCCAAGGTGCAAGCTTTACGTGGTTTCGGTGTTTCTTCCTTCATCTCGAAAAAGATTTCATCAGACATCAGTGCACAGTGCGTCCAGCTCTCTAGTACACTGCGTTTGTTGGCCAAAATCAACCAGTCTCTACGAACAAATAACATCATAGCCACCATATTTTGCAGGGACATAGATGCCAGCCAACAGTGCCATGCTAGTTGTGCTTCGCCAGGCTGCAATTTCCCGCTTGTGCGGTTGCCGCTGCGGTGGTGCTCACCGTGCTATCCTTCTCGCCGTTGCCCAGCAGTGTGCATGGTGTGATCTCCCCGCTGGCCGGAAGTTGCACAAAAGATATGCAATAGGTGCACCCCACCCAGGAACCGTCCAAGAACAATCACTATTTAAGCAGAGGCCCTTTCCTTAACCTTCACTAGCGACTCTTGTTTCGAGACAAGCTAAAGTATAGAGGAATCCTCATCATATTGTCCAGAAAGCACAAGTTCCTACCATTCTCTTTTGTCACAGTTGCTTCATCTCTTGGAGGATCATTGACTGCTGGAACCGTGTTTCTCTGAACACTGAAAAGGCATCTGGCACGATCTTCGGTTTGGGCCTGGGAGTGGCTGGAATGACCAATCAGGCAGGTTTTTTTTGGGACGACTTCCATCCCAGTCCACTTCCAGCAGCTGCCTGGCCGCACTTTCACGACTTCGGGCAGGAGAAGGTGCTGAATTTTCTGGATGTGGCCGGCTTCTGGGATCCATCGCTGATGTTTGTCATGGGATGTGGCATGATGGTGTCCTTTCCGGCCTTCTACCTGGCGGAGCGCTTCAAGCGTCGCTGTGTCCTTTTCAACCACGGCCTTGCCGTGGTCCTTTTCGGCTGGCGCTGGCCGTGTTTCAGCTGCTGGTGTTCGGTGTTTTGAGTGTGTTTCAGTTGAAGTAGTTGAAGGTATTCCCCGACTCACTTGGGAATGGATTTGGATGGCATCTATAAAGAGAGGGGGTTTAGTGAGTGGGAGTGTAGGATGTCTGTATGATAGAGAGACTAGAGGGAGGAAGAGACGTGCTATCGGAGTATCGTTGTTTCCTGTCCTTGCAGGAGTCAGATGACGCAAAGCCAAAGTGTGCTGAGAAATTTGAAAAGCCTGGCAAAACTGGCGACTATGCAGCTTTGTATGCAACTAACCATCATAGGACAAAGAAGCAAAAAGCACACACCTTTTAATGCACCAGTAAACATGCGGTACTGGCGAGTCACAATTTCCTTGGAACCAAGGGAACTTTGGTCGTGGGGGCCGTGCTTTTCGGCATTGGCTGGGGTCTGGTGGGCATTTGCCCCGGTCCTGGCCTTGCAGGTGTTGCACCTTGGAATTAAGGTTCAGCACGTCCGAACGAGAAGAATGGAGACAAGGTCTGAGAAAACCAGGGTAGCAACTCTTCTCGCATGAGCCCTTTGAGTCTGCATTGTGAGCTCTTTTGCATTGTGAGCTCATCGTTTGGTCAATGTAAAGGTTTGTCGGTCCAAAGCTGGTCGAAGTCGGCCCTGAGGTGCCGAACCTGGTTACTTCTGATGGAGGCAGTGATGCCGTGATCTCTGACTTCGTTGCACAGACTTCGTCCTTGGTTTCCTTGATTCCGATGCTTTGGTTTCCTTCCTCCTCGATTTTCCTCGATTTGCTTCGTTTTTCTGTTCGACTCCAGGCTCTGGCGGCTATGGCTTTGCCCTTTGTACACTACTGACGGCGGTCATTTGGGTGTCCTGGCACCACCGTTCCGTTCGCTTGGATGATGTGTTTTGTTGGGCAAATTCTGTTTTGGGCCACAGAACAGTTGCGTTGCAACGGCTTGTGGAAGGGGTGTTGAGACGTTTGGCTGTGTGGAAGGTGGCCACAGATCGAGCACTCGGCCTCAGTGGAGGGAGAGAGATGAAACACAAACACTGTAGAACCGGGACCAAAGAGGCGATGATTTCAGTGACAAAACACTTGCCAAACACAGCAAAAAAACATGCAAAATGTGCAGTGAAAGCATTGACTTGGTAGACTTGCTTCAACTTATTATTTCCTGGTCACCTAGGGCTTGCAGACGGCCGGACCTGCCCCATCAGCTTCAGACCAAAAGCCCCTGCTTCACAAATGATCAGGGCAATCCTAAGCCAGCGCGAAGGAGGCGGATGATCGGTGCCACTTTGGTCTTGGCGCCACCGCCATGGTCCTGCTGAAATAATTTGAGGCAGGAGTCACCGTCGAGACATATCTATATATGTATTGGGTCTGTCCTGTTACCTGTCACAAGGCCTTTCTTAGCCATCATCATCCACTATTACTATAAAAGGATAGACCCAATCTATGCAATATCTATGTTTTTGTTGAAGTGTTGGTTGTTCCCAAGACATGCTCCAGGAATCCTGCATTAAATGGAGTGGCATTTGCTCTTCAGCCGTGCACTTCTGTAGCCTGCAACCGCTATTTGCTGTGCCAAGCTTTCAGAATTTGGTCAGAAAGGCAGCATTATGTTGACACGAACCACGTGAAAAGCATTTACACGTCAAGAAACTATACTTGCAAAACAAAGGCATGGGTGCTGTTGTGGCGAAAGCAGATAGTCCGATGCTGCTGATAGGGCAATTGTTAGCTGCTAGCCTTTAGATGCAAAAGCACAGGGCGCCACAAAAAGTTGCGTGTAGCGTGTTCTGGGCGCGTCTTTAAATGGGCCGGGCAGGTCATGCCCATTCACCTGAGGATTTGCACATCTATTGCACGTACTGTATCTCGCAGTTCGCTGGTACCAAGGCGCTGACCTAAATCTGCTTCCTGAGCTTATAGCTCATTCTAGCTCAAGGTCTCCCAAAGCTGGGGCCTTCATTCTGACATTGGCAGCAAAGGAACGCTTGAGACTGCAGCAGCCTTTTTCTTATCATTTATATAATGCTTGCTAGTCAAGACATGTTTGTATTTGTTTACACAATGGTATAATCTGTGTTGATGCTGGAGGAAAGCGCACCCTGTTTGGATCAAACTAACTCATCCATGGGCGAGTGTGCTCGCTGCCATGTGGATGGCTATCGGAACAATGAGGCCAGAAGGGATGATCAAAGCCCAAGGACAACACAAGCTTGAGCCAAGCCATCGCATTGAACTTGCAAAGCTGCAAACTTGTCGGACTTCTTGGTTTGTTGATGCCGAGGTTCGCATGTACTTTTCAGGGTGCTGCGACTGTTGCCTTTGCAGCCGCTGTTTGCCGTGGGCCAAAGCCGGTGTGGCCTGCCCAGGGTGTGGCACTCGCATCAGGCGAGTGCGTCACAGTGAAATGATTCATTGATTCAAGTGATTTGAGTCGACTGCCCTTCCTCCAGGGCAGAGGACTTCTCTTGCGATTCTCGGGCCAGCCGAGAGGTGGACAGAGAAATGAAGGCACCAGACGTGGGACAAATGCAGGATCTGTTTCAGCAGCATGTGCAGCATCATGTGGCATCAATGATGGACATCGTCAATGACGGTTTCGGCTTAACCGTTTCGGTTCAGCAGTTGTTGAACTCTGGAAACACTTCTGCAGAACAGAGAGAAAAGTCGATGCTTGCATGCCAGTGTAACACTTCCCATTTTTTGTGTGTCAGAGGCATTTAATCTTCCCCCTACTGATCATCACTTCCTCTCATGTTTTCTCGGTTTGGATGAGAGTGGATTCCTGGATATAAGCTAAGTTTCCCTAAACATCTAGAAACCAAGCCATTCGTGCGAGCGCTTCTTCAAGGAAGCTTCCCCCGCCGCCTTTAGGGCAGCGGGGGGAGCTTCCTTGAAGAAGCGTGAGCTATGCTGCGTCCATACTAGTAGCTACTTAAGCCACTAGCTACCTCAGTTCCGGCGCCTACCCAATTAAGTAGGGAGGGGGAGGGAGCGGGCGAAAGAAAAGCCGCGCCGTGCCGCCACCCATCAGGTCCGGCGGCAGATCAAGCAGGTCTACTGTAAGACGGAGCGAGACTTCGCCTCGTCGGAGAAGTGGGACGAGTGCGCCGAGCCGTTCAACCGTCAAAGCCCGAAATGGTCAGCGAAGTCTACACGTTGTTTGGCAAAATGCATCGTAAGGTTGTAAAGCGATAAATCTCAAGTGCAAGGGCTCCCCTTGCAGATGACCTGTTTCAGGCATGAAACTGTCTTGTAGATGAGCATCTTTGGAATCCAGCGTTTTGGAGCTTAGAGACACTTGTTAATCAGTGGTCAGTCGTTTGAATGATTGGTCAGAGTCTTTTTTGTTTTGAGTTTTGACAGTTTCCGGGCCCTTCATTGCTCTACAAGTTGTTAGGAACTGTAACTAAACCATGTTCCAAACGTATCTTGCCTGCCAATGTCACCAGGTACTTGATGCTGCGGGAAGATATCATCTACACATTGGCATATTCCTCATCGAAAGAAGAGGCATGCATCATCTATAGCCGCTAGAGTCTCGCTTAGGGCCTTGTGTGGTATCAAGCAGCCAGGTGCAAGAAACCTGGCGCCAGGTTGAGCGGTACAAGGCCCACGTTTTTTTAATTTATTTATCCCAAAAGAAAATCAGTTGGATGACAAGGGCTTTCAGGTGCTTGCATGCCTTGCACTGCTTGTCGGCCGTGATGAGCGTGTTTTTTTTTTAGATGAGAATCTCCGGCACACGAGGAGCAAGGACGCTACTAGGGGCTCCTGGCATCGCTACTAGGAACAAGAAGTTACTAGGGGCTCCTGGCCTTACTACTAGGAGCAAGGACGCTACATTGCATCCTACGGAAGTGGTGACTTCAGGCTCAGCATTCGCACGACATCCGCCAAAGACAACAAGAGCTGCCCCGCAAGGCACCTTTGCGCCCAAGCGAACGCACACTGTGGAGGAAAGGACATACACTCCGGTGAAAAGAACATTTCGATGACAATTTCCGATTCAATTTCATGTTGGTGACAGGGTGCAAAAGTGCATTTTTGCATGTTCCACATTTAATTTGCGCCAGCAGCCAGTTCTCAACTGGGTTTCAGCCAGGCCCAAGTTTTTTGCCCCTAGAATTTTTTGGGTCCCCGCAGTCCATGTTAGTTTTGAGCCTCAAACAAGGACTACCAAGAATCAAGACATTTCTCGCCATGGCTATGGCTAAAAACAAAGACCTTCGAGGTCTGAAATTCGTTCGGTCTTTTTTGCTTTCAGGGTGCGGGCCGGGTCAATCTGTAGCCCCGACCGAATAAGGAGCCTTTAGATCCTTTGCCTTATATAAGTTTTCCAGGCAGTTTACTTGTGATGCCGATTGTTCGAAGTGACACAAAGGACTTGTGACGTCGAAGTTGGCTTGTGGAAGACTCGTTTGCACAATCCATACTGTAGAATCATTGATTATGAATTATGACTACTGCTATATACTATTCTGCAAGCTTTTTGTAGGTATTCACAGAGCCACCCAGCGATTACTTGGGAAGGCCCTTGAGAAGATGGCCGCTGTCATCACAGCGGAAGGTGCGGCCGCGGGGAACCCCTTGAAGCCGAACGGGTGACTTCGCGCTTTCGCAAAGCATCTGCAGTGAACTCTCAGGTGACTTCTCAAGCCGGGTGAACGCTGAGTGGGCCACAGCTGCCCAGTTCCAACACCCGTTGCAGGCCCAGTTCCAATACGTAGACGGCTCCCACAAAATACACATTTTTCAAACGTTGCTCACCATAAGATATGTATTGTAAAGATCATGGATCATAGTCCACCAGAAATCATGAACACATGGTCATGTGGAGTAGTGGTCATGAAGGACCTCTCAACCATGAGGTCAGGGTTTCAAGCCCCGGAGGCCTTGAGCTCGAGCGGACGGGGACGCAAACGTGCTCGGGAGGATTTGATTACACTGGTAGTGGAGCCAAAGTGCTCCGAATCCTCCGCGCCGGTGCCATCGTTGGTCGCTGCTGACCGTGGATTTGGAGCTGAGGTTGAGAACTGTTGGTCGTACAGAATCGATTATTCTTGGAGTTTTGCGTTGTGGCTGCACAACACACAGGTTGGACACTATCATGCCAGAACTTGACTTGGCTTGCGACTGCGGGTATTGGTGTTTTGACTTGGTGTTGGCAGGCAGCTGGGAAATCACTATCAACCGCATTTCGTCCATGGCTTGACTGAATTTTGCAAGATTGACTTTTTGAGCAAAGCAACATTGTGCAGAGCAACGTTGAACATTGACAAGTTGACAAGTCGAGATGGCGCATCGACAGTTGCAGAGCTCATTGTGGGTGGGTCCGAAGACACATGTTGTTCATTTGACGGCGGACCCAAGCATGCTGAGGAGTACAAAGAGAGAGTGACGCTTGGGTTTCAGACCACCTCAAAAGAAGACAAGCCAGCCTATGCAGCACGGTTGTAACATGCACTACATGGTAGAGCTTTCCCCAGGACAGCGCTGTGCAATATTGGGACAAGCGGGGCAAGAATACGATTGGGGCAAGATAGTTGAGGCAATGTTGGTTCAGCTTGACCAAGGAGAGGATGCCCGACGCAGTGACTGGAAATGGGGACTTCAGATGAGGTCACAGCGTCAACAACCTACAGAACAGAAAAGGTAGCTGGGCTGGGCCTTTCCGATTGTCGAGGTCAATGGAGCGAACTCAAGGAGAAGAGTCGCCAGAGGCCTATGTGACAGAAGATTGGTTTGAGAGCACAGGAGAAGATGAAGAGATTCCAGTGTATGAGGCAGATCTCTTGAAGCCCAGCCCTGGCGATCGAAGACATGACCCCAGATGGGTTGGAGGTGTTTGCGTTTATTGCGCAGCGCGCACGTTGAGGCCTATGTGATGCTGCTGACTTGCCATAAATGCCCACCAGCTTGACCCACATGACCAAAGAGCCCGCGACAATGTGCCCTTATGAGCGGTAGACTCTGCCCCACTCATCGAGTGTCTTGTCACCGATGTGTCCAGTGAGGTTTTTGAATGATGCCTCATGCCCCGCCTCATGCCTGGTCGGAACCCTCGCCAGCTTTGCTGCCTCCTTCAGACTTGCGATCTTTGGATCTTTTAAGTCACCTGCCAACTTGCTGACTTGGAATCCAATGGTGTACCCAATGATCCGGCGTACCACTGCAACTGCCCAAGGAGCCCTCAAAATTCTTTCGTTTCACTTGAACTGAGCTTTGCCTCGGCTGACGCGATATGTCCGCATGTTTTAACATAGTCTTTGGCATGGATGTGGCTGGTGAAATCCTCATCTTGGTGGTAGGAGCGACATAAGAACTTCGCCATCCGTTCGCCGTTGCCCCCATTCAATCTCCTCTTGCGTCTTTTCTTACTTTTCTTCATTCCGTGCGATAAGAGCATCGTCAACGTGTAGCGCTTTGGGATCGCCATTGTCTCTTTGGTGTCTTTCTGCCTCGCGCAACGCAGCCGGCCACTTCGAAGGTCAGGGCCTCCCATCCCAACTGGTGGTACCACTGCCGGCAGCGCTGCGTCATGGACACCATATGGGCTGATTCACCGCGCCAAGAACCTTTGCTCTGCCAATTCCTTTGCCGGTCAAGGTACAGCTCTCGGTTGATCTCAAGCCCTTGCAGGCGTGCACCTTTGAGGCCTGCTGCTCTCAGCTTCTCAGGCAGTCTCGGATCTGGCCCTAATGTCCACTTCTTGGAATACAAGACATCTTGAATGGATGTCAGGCCTTTGCTCCGCAAAGCTTTGGTTAATGCACCAGCCGTGATGGAATCCGGTCGCATACTGTAAACTGCGCCTTCTTTTAAGATCTCCTGATGATTGCGGCCTCTAAGGAAGGGCCTCTGTCTGAAAGCAACACACACTCTCTCTCTGTCTCTCTCGCGCGCTCTCTTTCCCTCCGATCAAACGCAATCGTAGAGCAACCGGCAATCTCTCATAGTCACACTTGGGATGTGGTGTAAGTGGTCCTTGCAGCCTTGAAGAGAATGAAGTTGACATCAGGCAAAGTTCAGACAGAAGAAGAAGCAGAGGAGATGAATGACAAGAGGATTGACGAAGATGAGGAAGGAAGCCCAGAAAGATATGTCACAAGCCCGTCCATATCCACTAGCCCAAGTATGAACGCGGAGTCAGTACTGTTGATCACGTTGGCGCAACAAGTCCTCACAACGCGGGCTGAACGAGGCGTGCAAGACGACTTTGATCTTTGCAGCCTGGATCAGCGTGTTGACCGTGTTTATGGTCCCATATGGTTCACTAACACGCGGTTCTTGAAGTACAGAGATTTGTACAAACAGTGTACATGTGTCGCAGAGTTGACAACGGTGACAACAATCATTGCTATGAAACCAACAATCTCAGAGAATTCAGAATGTTTGGCGATGATGCTTGCCGCGACCATGGAAATGATGCTCTTCACCCTCTGGCAGATGGCAAATCATACTGTGCAGGTATGGGAGCATTTGGCGGAGAAGGAAGGAAGCGCAATGACCAGATGAAAGCTTGTTATGGTCAGTGTCAGAGGAGACGAATGCCGTCGCGAGAGAAGTGGACAGAGTTTGTAAAGGGCATGATTTCTGCGACAGACAGAACATTTGCGCTGCTTTCTGCTAGCGTACAAGCAAGAGTGGCATCAGCCATTGACAGGCTAGCGCGTGAGTACAAGTACGAAAGGCAAGAAGTTCACATGGACGTGGAGAGAAGACTTCTTCAGAAGAAAAGGAGGTCTGGAGCAAAAGACAGGAGAGCCGAGAGGCTTTCGGAACTCCTGCGTGAAGGAGCAGACAGAGTCCTACAGCGGAAGAAGAGTTCATGGACACCAGATGGTCATGTGGAGTAGTGGTCATGAAGGGCCTCTCAGCCATGAGGTCCAGGTTTCGCTCGCAGGCCTTGAGCTCGAGCGGACACAAGCGTATATACGCAGTTGACGTTTACATTATGTAAGAATGTGTAATCGGTATACGGAGCTGTTACGAAAGCCAGCCTTCGTAGAAGGTGCCAGCTGAGTTGTGTTTGGCGAACGAAGTGAGTAAGTAGGGGGTCTTGGGGGGTGGCCCGACAAAGCGCAACATAAACTCGACATTAGGGGGTGTTGGAGGTGATTTTTTGTGATTTTTGAGTGGCTGGTGATGTAAGAAATGCAATTTTCTTCATTTGCATCATCTGCGTGGTAAGGTGTAGTTTTACCGAGGCCGATGTGTTGTAGCTTCGTGCAGCTGTTAATGCATAACCTCTTACACGCCTGTATAAGTTCAAAGCGCTAATGAGACTCCAAATCCGTGGATTGCTGCACGTTTCTCCACGTTATCTAGCGGTTGACGGAAAGGGAAATTGAAGTGCTATACCTGGCAACTGAATTGTAGCGGTTGACAGAAAGGGAAATTGACGTGAAAGACCTGGCAACTGAATTGTAGCTACCCTGGGTCCGTATAAATGCTATTTTGCTTTACCTCTTGCACACCGATATAAGTTCAAAGCACGAATGAGATTTCAAAGTTGTGGATTGCTGCACGTTTCTAAAGGTTATCGAGCGGTTGACGGAAAGGGAACTTGAAGTGCTTTACCTGGCAACTGAATTGTAGCTATCCACGATTGCTGCACGTTTGTCACGGTAGCGGTTGGCGGAACGGGAACTTGAAGTGCTATACCTGGCAACTGCCTTGTAGCTGCCCTGGGTCCGCGCGCGCGCGCGCCTAAATCTAGATCTCTCTTCACAACGTGCTTGTGGACAAAAAAACGCTGGCTTTCGTTTTGCAGCTTCTCAGGTAGGTGCTTTTTACATCTATGTCTCAAGTGTAGCTATGTTGTGAATACATTTATCATTTATCTTCAAGGCTATCTCTGGTACTGTATTGCGGTGATGCCGGAAGTCAAGTCACAGTCGCCCTGGTTCTACTCTGTTTTAGAGCTTTGTCTCGTCCCCCTCACGTCCGTGCGCCAGGAACAATACGACAACCTCTTAAAAGAGTTGCCTGAGAGCCCCGTGCAAGGCAGGGGTATTTTTATGGCAGCCAAATGCTGCTCAATTAGAGTGGCTAGCGTGCTTGTTTCTGGACATTTTCGCGCGTGAGAGATGAGCCCTGGGCAGTTATTTTGGAAAGATGTCAGTGCAACAGAGATCGAGAACACCTTTCCACGTGTCATGTTGGGCAGGTGTTCAGACATCTCCCGTGGCACCCCAGCCACTCTTGAGTGCTGGTGGTACTTCAAATCAAGCAGTGCAGAGCGGTGGCGGGCAAGAGACAAGCATAGGTTCAAGCCTCAAAGTGAGAAGTCATTGAAGGCTTTTGCAATCTATCCGTGCAGCTATGAATGCAGACGCATCATCTGAAGTCTGCAGAACAAAAGGGCTAGAAGACAACATTGGGTTATATTTTTTTAGCGTAACATAGAAAGACCATGGCGTGAGAGAATTGCGCCTGGTTTCCGTTTGTTTGTTTGGTTGTTTGTTTTCTTGTTTGGTTGTTTGGTTTCTCGCTTGCTGGCTGGCTGGCTGGCTTGCGTGCTTGCGTGCTTGCTTGCGTGCGTGCGTGCGTGCTTGCGTGCTTGCGTGCTTGCGCGCTTGCGTGCGTGCGTGCGTGCGTGCTTGCTTGCTTGCTTGCTTGCTTTCTTGCTTGCTTGCTTGTTTGCTTGCTTGCTTCTTTGTGTGTGTCTCTGAGGCTTGAAAAAAGCACGCTACTTCTTCCTTGCAGATTTGGACATGGTTGGCGGGCGCAAAATGTGAGACAAACTTCATCCACCTCGATCTGTGGCTGAAGAATTGTAGTGCGCCGCTCGGCAACAGAAACTAACAGAGATATTTTATGACTTTGCGCAACTGTGGCCAGAGCATCAAGTGGAGTAGTCAATGTACGCCGGATTTGCAGAATGTTTTATGTCATGGACCCATGTAGCATGATTTTGTGCTTGTGGTGCTTCCAGAGACAGAACCTCAATTCAGTCATAACTCATGCGGCTTTGGTTAAACCATTTTGCTAAGGCATTGCGTGTTAGACTTGAATCTGCAGCTGCGCAGACAAGCAAAAAATGCTGCGATTGATGGGTCACCGTTTTGGTTTGATGGACAGCTAAAAACATGAGAGAATATGTCTACGAAATATGTTGGGTTCGGTTGCCTTCACTTCCCAAATTCAATTATTTAGTGGCCTCGCGGCTGCCCTCATATACGAGTCAGTGTCCTCATGCTGACCGTGCTTGGAAAGTGTTATCATTGGGAGGTAACTGAGTCTTAGATGGAGGACATTGCTGCCGGCAGATGCAAGTTATCTGGGAGTTGAAAATGGTGTCAGGGGATGTTCTTGCCTAGTGAGAAAGAGTGGTCCCGTCGAATTTGCATTTGGAGCATGAAGGAGGTGATAGAAGGCAGTGCCAAAGACCAGACATTTTGATGTGCTTGACGTGCCTCAGCTACCCGCAATTTTGACATTGTAGAAAAGCATCGGCTTTCAGCTTTCATCACGAAAGCTAGCATGCTAGCTGAGTTCTTCTTTGCTTTAGCAATGTTGTGGTGGGAGGGGCTGCGTGCCTTAAAGATTGATATATCAAGCTAACCCCCCCCCCGCGGTTCAACTCCCAGCTGCGCCGCTTCGCTTATTGTTGTGGCGCATACCACCATTCCGCTGAATGCATGATGTGTCCTTTACTGTCTTTCTTAACAGATAGAGGTTCAGAGAAACACCCGGCCGGGCAGACAGGGACACCTTACTGCGTGGCGCTTCATTGCAGTCCTCTACTACTTCAAGACCCGGAGGGGGCTGCGCCCACACATCAAAAATGCAAGAAATGCTTGCCATTGCTTTTAGAAAATCTGGAGGGTAAATTTACCCACCGCTTTTGGATGCCTTTGCCGGTTCTTTGGGGCAGTCCAGGGGAGGCTTCAAGTCCTATTTGCACCCACACATCAGATAATGCAAGAAATGCTTGCCATAGCTTCTACAAAATCTGAGGGGTCAATTTACCCCCCGCTTTTGGAGGCCTTTGCCGGTTACAAAGTATCAGTTATATAAACGTAAGTCAAGCTTCTTTGGGGCAGTCCAGAGGGGGCCTCCAGCTCTATTTGCACCCACACATCAGTGATGCAAGAAATGCTTGCCATAGCTTCTACAAAATCTGAGGGGTAAATTTACCCAATAGAGCACTCTTATTTCTCCTCAGCCTTTCATAAGCACTCTTATTTGTCCTGCTTTAACTTTTTTCCTCTTTACAATTCTCAGCTGAAAAAGTCCGGTGCGCTTCCGCTAGCTTTCGACCTCCTCCCCCTGGCCTCAAGTTCAGGTACTGGAAGTACACCATGTGGTGCCAGAATGAGTCCCAGGCTGCTTCAAAAGTGAGACATGCGACACTAACTGTTCACAATTGTCATTTTGGGAAGGCAGTGAGTGTGGTTTTGGCATTGTTTACAAAGTCTCCAGAGCACATTATGCTGAGACTGTCAACAACTGAGTCCAGAAGAGCTTTGCACACAGGCCACACAATTCCAGGTGAAGTCCACCAACCAAAAGAAGGAGAAAGACTTGGCAACGACTGCAGAATTGAACAATAACATGTTGTTTGTGTATCACAAAGCCACAAAAGACTTATCACTTATCTCTAAACTGCCGTCGACGGCAGGAGATGTTCGCAGCGGATATTGCAAAGGCCGTTGCAGACATGGCAGCTGCCTCCGCCCATCTAGCGGAGCGACAACGGCTGTGGAGTCCCTTTTTGGGAAGTGTGCAGAAATGAGTCTGCCAGAAATCCCCTTCTTGTCCGGAACGAAGTTTTTCTGCATCATCGAATCCTTGATCGCAATTCTCATGGGAACCCATAGAACTTCAGGACAACAACGAATGGCGGGAATCGAGCTGTGTTCTGCTTCGCTGTGTCCTCCAGGAGATAGCGCAGTACGAATCGACGGACGAAGCGGATCTCAAGGTTCCGATGGTTGGGCACCCACTGACGAAGAAGTGCCACTCTGGCAACCCGCAGGAGCCAAGAACGTTTCTTGTTGAATGTTCTGTGACTGCTCATTTTGGCTCAGTTGTGATTGGTTCATGAAGCTGGCTAGGGCAAACAATCATTGGATGAACTCCATGTGCTCTTTCGGGCTCGCACGTGTTCGCAAATTGTTCTTTAAGTCTTGCCCAGCCCCCAATGGCTCAAATTGCCCTGGCACCGTCACTTGGACGTGCCGTGTCTCTGGATGGGTGCCGCCGTCTGCGTGAAGATGCACGTTTTGCAGCTCCAGGTTGGAGAGGACGCGGCCGCTCTCGCTGCATATCAAACGTTGAACCTTCACGTTTTAGGCTTCCAAATCTGCTTTGAGACGCTCGATGCTGTGTTAACGGGTTTCATCCGCAATTTCTGGCCATCCAGGAGCTCGGGCATCAAGCCTGTGGCTTCTGGCAGGGGTCGAGGACCTAGAATCTGACCTAGAAGCCAGTTCACAGGATTCACTGTTGAATTTGATTTCGTGAGGGCCTTGTTTAAGCTGTCGCCGCTGTTAGCGACCCCAGAGGAAATCGCGATTGCTGGTGGGGTTGGGTTGGGGTGGTGCGGGGCACGTGAACGTTCGCTTGCACTTGCGTCACGAAGTTGATGCTTCGTGGTTGATGTGGGGTGGGGTGGGGTGGGGCATGTTAACGTTCGTTTGCACTTGCGTCACGAAGTTGATGCTTCGTGTTTGATGTGGGGTGGGGTGGGGCTTGTTAACGTTCGCTTGCGCTTGCGTCACGAAGTTGATGCTTCGTGTTTGATGTGGGGTGGGGTGGGGTGGGGTGGGGCATGTTAACGTTCGCTCGCATGTTAACGTTCGCTCGCACTTGCGCCACGAAGTTGATGCTTCGTGGTTGATGTGGGGTGGGGTGGGGTGACGCAAAACGCGTGACGCAAGACGCGTGACGCAAACCGCGTCGACCAATATGTCCGCAGTTTTCAGCTTCGGTGGAACAACAGAGGAAATTTGCTTCAGGCGTTGGCCCGAACGTGGCCGCAAGTGTAAAGAACATACACCTGCAAAACGCGTGTGCGCCAAAAAGGAGTGCACTTTCTGCCCTTCCCCATTCTAAATTCCACGTGACAAGTGCCGTCCCTTCTAAAAATGGGATGAAAGCACATATGATCCAACCTCTCCCAAATGAAAAATGACAAAATGGGAGTTTTTGAGCACTGTCCACTTCGGCGCTGTGCGAATCGCACAGGGTCACCATTAGCGGCGGCACCTTGTTAAAGTCACCCTCTGACCCCACCTTTCCTTCATCGTGTCAGAATGTGACTGCGTCTGCAGGAAGGCCTAGTTCTTGAAGTACTTGTGACACATGAATATAATAACGCTATTGTTGGACGGTCGGGACGCAAGGTCGAACAACAATGTATCCTGATTTGGAACTTGCAAGTCGGCAAGGTAGCATAAAGGCGACCCAGGTGTAGCAGCCTCAAATTAAACCTTCACGCCTCTGCAGGTCTATGCAGGCCGGCGACCAGTTCGCGCTTCTATCGCTGCAACTTGGGTGGCCACTTCCACATGGATGACTGCTTATTTCTAAGATTTCTAGATTCTAGACAAAACCTTGAGAGTAACCAGCTGTAGAGCAGATGCTTCTTCGCTGACAGCTCAGGTAGAAGCAGGGTGGCATCCCGGTGCTGAGGCGACATGCACCACAAAGTTCCAACGAATCGAACGGTTTCCAGCTGGGTCACATGGTGCTTGGAGGGTTTTCACAAGGGGTCTTGTTTGCTTCATGGACTTAGCACCGGTTCTTCAAGCAGATTTTGTGGAGGATGCTGATGAAGCTGCCCCTTTGCCGGATGAAAGCAATGAGAATGACGAGTCAAGCTCTTACAACGACTTAGGCAACTTGGAAGGAAAAGGATTGCAGAGTTCTGAGCCTAAAGGCTAGGCTTTAGACTTTCCTTTAGACGTTGCTGAAGTTTATTTTGCCTGATAACGGACGCTTGTACCGCTTGCTTTATTATGAACACCTGTTTGCTTGGCCACTTATTCCTCCGTTTGTGCCTTCCGGAAGATGCGAAAGAGGAGCTGCGTTTCAGGTGTTCATCGGGAGATGCTCGAGGATCGGGTGCGGACGGAGGCCTTTCGCGAGGCGATCTTCCAGACCTGCCAGGAACGCGGTTGGACTCGCGCAACGAGACCCTTTTTTGATGCGGATAGAGGAAGAAGTAAGCTAAGTAGCTATTGAGTAGGACGCTAATACCTAGGATGCAGGGTAGGTCACGCTTCTTCAAGGAAGCTCCCCCACGCCCGCAGGCGGGGGGAGCTTCCTTGAAGAAGTGCTCGCACTATTCATTTGGTTCTGAGATTTTAAGGGACACTTAACATTTCGTATTTACTTTGAGACAATCCAAAGGGATTTTGTTTCGAGCGCCTTCAGAGGACAAAGTGGTCCTTGAGGTGGGCTGTGGAAGTGGCATCCTCTCGGTCTTTGCTGCTCAAGCTGGCGGGGCTTGGGCTCTCGGATGAGTTTTTTCCTCATTTTGGCGGTTGAAAGTTGAACATGCATTGAAGAAAGCTTGTTGCGAAAGCCAGCTGGCAGGTTAGGCCAACCAAGTGTTGCGCTTGAAAGTTCTTTGCTGTCAGTCCTAGGTCCTGTCGCATGTCCTGTCGCAGATCTTTGGCTTGCAGTCTTGTTCTGTCGCCACAACTCGACATCTTCCATTTCAGTGTCTCTCAAAGATACAGTACCGGTCCCCCCAAGAGGTCCGTCCCTCATCGGTCAGGTGCCCGGCGTGTGGTGGCTGTGGAGGCCGATGTGGAAATGGCCGAGCTGGCGCAGGAGGTGGTGGATGGCAATGGTGTCGACGTGAACGTTCTCTCGGGCCGTGTGGAGGACCGAGGGCTTTTCGGACCAGGTGGTCGACTCAAAAAAGGAAGGAGAAGAGTAAGAATGGGTTTTGGTCGATCTTCTTGTGAAGACATAGAACCTGCAGTATGGAGACCTTGTGTGGTATGATGCCTGCCCCAGAAGATGTCGTGAAAAGGAGAACGGTCGCCCAAGTCGTGCACGGTGTCGGTCGCCCGCCCAAGCGCGCTGGAGGAGGTCGCCCAAGTCGTCGACCAAGCATTGGACGGCCAAAAGGTGGATGTACTGATCTCTGAGTGGATGGGCTCCTCGGCCTCCGGAGGGCCCAACGAACCAACGGTGGTTCGAGTGTCTATTTTTCTATACAATCTGCGAACAAAGCTTCAAGCTGAGCTTACCGTTCTACGCATAGCTTTGGATGTGTTGGGGTCGTGTCACTAGGTTTCTCGGTTTTGACCTTTGGCACCTGGCATTTCCAACCCCTCGTCTTGAGGCTTTATGCTTGTCTGCGAGGATATGTTTCGCAGCGTCGTTTTCGCACGAGACAGATGGCTTGCAGAAGGCCAGGCGTCCAAAGACACACTCACTTTGTTCAGGGCCGACCTTGATGATCCTCTGCATCTTTGCCTGTGCCTGTAAGGCACGGGATTGTAGCTGTAGCTTTCAAAGTTGTCAGGTGATGCAGACAACAACACTCACAGATGTGAAGGGTGATATCGAAGGCAGCAACCGTCCCATAAACCGACGGGGCATACCGAGGGATATCTTTAAGGTTTATGGGGCAATCGAGAAGATCACGAAACGAAAAGGGACCAGCGATGACTACAAATCCAAGTTGCGTAAATCAGACCAAACATCTGAAACATTGCCTGAACCTATTAATCGCTTCTTGTTACTAGACTAGTAGTAAGGTGCCTTGTTACTAGTAGCTTCTTGTTACTAGTAGTAATGCCAGGAGCTACTAGTAGCTTCTTGTTACTAGTAGTAATATTGCCTGAACCTATTCTCTGTATGTTGACGTTAGTCAGACAAATGTGACTAAAACCTCACTGCACCGGCACTTGTTGGGGTGCGTTTTCGTTGCTTCGTGCCGCACACAACGAACTACGCAGTTCACGCTGTTGTCTCTCATTGATGAGATTGCCTTGGGTCAAAAGGATTTCATACTGTGACTCCTTTTACTAGGCATCCAACTGGGGGGATCCTCTTCTTACCCCCAAAGAGGGCATGTTCATAATTGTGTATATGCCAGCCTACTACAAACCTACAAGGCTATTACAAGCAGGTGGGCAGATGCTGCCGCGGCGCTGCCAACTCTTTGCTGCTCCTTTCAGCCATATGGAGCTGGTGGAGCGCCAGACAGGCGAGCGTCGCTCGGAACACAGCGTGTCCACGACCGGTCCCGTCGTCCGAGCCGGTTGGTTTACTCTGTGAGTCTTCGACCCCGTATTGGAACACGTCTTCCACGGTTTAAGACTTGGTAGGCCATCGAAAGCATGCGCATGCAGGAACTCAGATTTCTGCTGATTTCTTTCAGAAGCGGCTGTACTACTGCGCAATCAAAAGTCGAAGACGTTTGTGGTTCCACAGACTGAACAGCACACCTCTGGGCGGCCACAGCGGAGTGCCCCATTTGGCCCATCAGAACCAACGGCGCACGGCGGTCGTGACCTCTTTGATGCGACGTGACGACGTGACCTTTCGGCGAACAGGTTTTTGGGGTTCCAAACCCTACGGCGTCGACCTCTCAGTGCTGGCCTTTCCTGTTGGGAGCCTTAGCAAGTGCAAGAAAGAGAAGAGGCCTTTGCCAAACACCATTTCAAGGTTGGGGGTTATACCATTTTGTAGATGTGAAGGAAAGCCCTGGTGAGTCTTTTTGCTTATGGGTTCCAACTTCCCTTTCAACCACACGCTGATCCCAACTCTTTACCTGGAAGCCTGGATTTCTGAAAAGCGATCGCAACATGGTGCAGAAACAGGCCCTCAGGACGAAAGACAGCCAAAACCTGGCTCAGTAGAGTTGTTTTTTGCAAAGTACATGAGAACAAGCGGGTCTGCAGGAAAGGAAGTGACGGGAGGCTGACAAATCCGGGAGGAAGCTGGAAGGGAGGAATTTGGAGCTTTGTGATGTGCCATTTGGATTGTGTTGGCCATTCGACTCCAGGTCGGGCCATCACCGCCCAACTTTTGCACCGAATCATTGCCATTGGCAAGAAAGAGTTGGAAGCGGTGGGAGTTGTCATCGTTCTTGAATTTGCTGTCTTTGCGAAATATACCACAGAAGATATGGCGGGTGTCGGGTGGGACTTCGGGGCCGTGCTTGGTGCAATTCGCCCCCAATCCACTGCATCAAGCTGTGGGTTTGTGCATTGCAACGGCTGCCCAAGTGCAAAACGTTGATCGATGGGGCAACCGGCAGATGGTTCAGCGCACCATCAACCTAGAGTTGCCGGCGAGACATGTGGTGGTTTACGTGTGAACATGGATAGCGCTTCTACTTTTGGGTCGGGGGCGCTCGCTCCCAGGCCTGGGTACATGAGGCATGGCAGCTGGTCAGGCATCGAGCAAACGGAATGGACATGTGGAGAGAGCAGGTCTTGCAGAGGACTTTTCGAGAGAAGGATTGCAGAACTTCGTCTTCTTTATTATGAGGACAGTTGCAATCCCAGTTGAGCAAGTGGCACCACATGACATCTGGAGCATCAAGGTTAGCGTTTGTTCTACCCTTGAGAACCCGACGATAGTTTTGAGCCGCCTGATGTGCACATGGGAGAAGAGTTCAATTGCAGAGCTTGAGATGATAGATGAGGCTCGAAATGTCCCACGGACAGAACCACGAGACACAGCAGATGGGCCTGGAACATGTGCCAATCAGGAGTGCAGCAGAGCACAGCAGCTGAGCCACGCACCCAAGCAAAAACATGCTTGACTGCCCGTGAGGAGACTGCAATTGGAAGATGCTATGGGCAATAGTTTCACCATAGGGTTGGAAATCACACCAAGCGCAGGAAACTGTATGACCGCCTTCAAGAACTTGTGGAAGACGCCAATGCCATGGTTCTTTTTTCAAAGGAGTGCGAACACATGAAAGCACTCATGGCAAGCCCACTTGCAGAATTGAGGCACTAGCGGAATTGAGCAGCCGAAAAAGTCACAATTTTCTGTTTCGAACCGTTGGGGGGTTGTGACCCCAGACCCCAGAAGACGGCCCTGATCACAACGAGTTTTGCATTTTGGAGCAGCGCGCTGTTCCAAACACGTTGCACTCCTTGTCTGGTCCACTTTGCAACGCGGACCTGCTTAGTGGTTATAAAAAATAGAGCAGCTGCGTGAATTTTTCTTGTCCAAAGTGCTGTCAAGGGTCTACGCCAGTAGAAGTTTTGTTCAAGCGACTCCCTAGACATCTTCTCTGGAAGTGTGGATCCTTTTATCGTCAAGTGGTTTGACCTTCCCAAATGCACCCGAACGCTGTAGAATCTTGTGTTCTGCCGACAGTTTGATGAAGCAGCGCCTCCTTGCACGTCCTTTCGAGGCTTTGGACCAGCACCTTTGTCGTCCGGTCATTGGCAGTTTGACTCAGCAGCAACTTCTGAGTGACGGCGACCTATTGTTGGGACCTGAGAACCATTGCGACCAGTGGTTTTTTTCACTGCAGTCAACAGGAACCTGGCATGCTCGACACGGGGTTAGCGCACGATGCTGCAATGTTTTTCCGTTTTTGCTCTTTTTGCTTTGACAGGTTTCATTGTGAAAGCGCTAGCTCTCTACGTTTTTTGGGAGGCCTTTTCATGTTTGTGCTATCACTGTGATTTTCATGCGAACGTTGAACAGCAACTAACTGAATTTTTTTCCTTACAGTTCTAGGTGGCACCAAACCATCTAATTCCCACGACTCATGCACAATCATACATAGTCACGCCGCTGAGGTTTGAACTTGATTGCCAGAAGGCCGCCAATATGAGGGTTGATATGTATGCGGTGTGTCGCCGTATGAACACAACTGAAGTGGCTACAATAGCATTGATAGTTTAAAACAGGTGCATAACCATCTCAAGGAATTGCGACGGACATTGCGCAGGCTCTATACGAGCACCTTTGTATACAACTAGGCAGGTTGCTGTAAGTTCATGTGAAGAGTCAGTCCTTTTCCCGGCGCAACGGTTCTTGTGCTCCTTCCAAAATCGGAGTAGATCAATCCGATCAACCCAACCTTTTTCCATTTGAGCTTTAGGTGCTACCACCTAGAAAGTATTCTAAGGTTGCTACCACTAGGGCATCAACCGACTCAACTGCTTCGGCCGTGCAGCTGGAACGTGCTGGGGTGGTTTGTCATGTGCAAAATGTTGCAAAGGCCGCTCGTGATGCTGTTCGCCAGCGAGACTGCCACTTTACTGCTGTCGTACAGCACCAGGGCCACTTTCATGGCATCGCTGTCACTTAATCGGCAGTTTTTTCATGGGGATGGTGCCTTTGAAGCGTCTTGTGCGAGTGGGTCGCATTTGGACACTCCTCTTTGCTTGATCGATGGCAATTCAACTCAACCCTCATGGATCGATGGTATTTCCATGTTTCCATTTGATTCATTTCATCACTTTGTCTCCAAGATTTGGCACAGAGTTCGCCTGTTTTGAGCAGGCTGTGGGAATATGATTCTGCAGCAGTACAGGCCTTCTAGGCCTTGTAGGCTTCTTATTCTTCGACCTGTTGCAATGCCTTGCTTGGAATCCCAATGCTGCTGAAAGGCAGTTTTCGTTTGGGCCACCACTCTACACATGAGTGCGTTGAGAAGCTTAGGTCTGGTTTGATTGTGAGCTGCTTGCGGGGCTTCACTTCACGACTGGACCACAGGTCCAAAGTGTCGGTGTCATATATTCCGGTGTTTGGAGTGGCTTCTCGCTTGCTTTCGCTTTGTCAGCTATTAGGAACTAAGTTCTTCTGCGAAAACTGAAAGATGTCAGCAGACCTTCAGTGGATTCAGATTTTTTTGGAAACTTTCCGTTTTGTGGGCAGGGTGACCCTACTCACTGGGAACAGACATTGCTGTTCTTGGATCCTGCCAGTGAGGATCTCAGACGGCGACCGAGACCGATTCACAGATTTCTTGATCCCGATTAGGTTGGTCTAGACGTGGTCATATTAGGACGTTCATACATATCACGAAAGCCAGCCGGTAGGCTAGGCTGAATTGGGTTGGGCGAGCGAAGTGAGTAAAGGGGGTGTGGGGGGGGAGTGGTCGCACACAGGCCAATTTCGGAGGGCTAACCCAGACCCTGGCGGGGGAGAGCGAAGAAAATAGGTGGCCGGGAGGTAGTGAAAATGAGTGTTCTTTTTTTTGGGGGGTGTTGTGATGCAAGTGATGTAATTGACGGCGAGTAGTGCATCATTAGCATCATGCGGGGCTCAGGAGGCAATGTAAACTGTAAACCGTTCTTTGCCAGGGGTGGAAGTTTATGTCGACGGTAGGAAAGAGGGGACAACGGGACGCGAAAAGTGGTTGGAGCTCCTCAAGGAAGGGGAGATGTGCGTTTGGTGGCCATTGAAGCAGTGTTCGACCAGGCGTGAAAGGGAGGTGTGTGTCTCTTAAGACACCGTGTGATCTGTGAGGGCAGGGGAGGGAACAGAATTCTGTGGGGAAGGTGGAAGACAGGCATAGCGGAGGAGGATGGGTGGGAAAAGATTGTTTGCAAGAAATCTGGGCGTTGCTTGGGGGTGCCCTTTTTGAATGGTAAAGATGCCTGTCAACCATACGCAAAAGGGCACCCCATATGGGGTGCGAGTTCCGGTCTGTAGCGAACAGAATGCAGCGGGCAAGCTTTGAATTGCTTGGGGCGCCCTTTTTAAACGGTGAAGAGGCCTTGTTGCGGGACTCAAAAGGGCACCCCATATTGGGTGGGAGTTCATGTGGATGAGACAGGCACAGCGGAGGAGGAATGTGATAGGAAAAGAGGGACTGCAAGAAACGATGACCCATTGAGAACAGGGAGGGAGCAGAACGCAGCGGGCAAGTTTTCACCCCCCATGACCTTATTGATGTCTTCTTATGGAGGCTGGCTTTCGTCCTTCCCTTCTCAGGTATACATATAGATGTATTTCCAACATATATGTATATATATATATGCAAATATAGGTATACATGTGCACCAGGCTTCTGGTCATCCCCGTCGTCGCTGTCGAGGTGAACTGATGGACATGAATTTGCAACAGGGCGACGAAATTGCAGGTGACGTGGCTGCGGGAGATGCGGGGAGATTGGTGTAGGTAGGGTTTGCTGAATGCAACGGAGATCTTTTGGACTCGAGGGAAGGGATTTAGCACGATTCTCCACCTCCAGGACGGCCCTCAGAAGCGATGCTGCGGTTTTTTAGAGTTGCAACGGTAGGAGTGGATGTTGCTGAATGTCGTTGATGGGGATGTTTTCCATGAGATACAGGTACTGCTGTACCTTGCAAACCACAGACCACAGAGAGGATTGAACACCACCAAGGAGCTGCTACTCAAGAACTCGCTGCTCGGACACTCCACCCCAGTTGGTCCTTGCTCCCAAGACGGACAGACCTGCAAGGAACCACTACTCTGTCCTTTTCTGATCTGGCCGAAGACCCTGCCAACGACCATGGAGACTGCATGGTCCAACGATGGAGACAGCCCCTCTTTCGGCTACCGGGCCAACTTGCCAAGATCTTCCAACACTCGGGCGGATTCGCGTGGTGGGCCACATCCACAAATCAATCGCGAAGGAACGCGCCCAAAGGTTGCGCGCGGATCCTCGCACGTTCCGCGCACGTTCCGCGCATTGCAATGGAAAAACATGTGGAAGAGGCACTTTAGTCGCTGCTACGCATAGGTTTTCAACGTACAAATGGTCGAAACCGTGCTGCCAGAGCAATCTCTTGCCAGTATGCAACCCCTTTGTTGTTGTCGATATCAGGGCGACCGGGTTCAAACGGTCTTTCGCACTTTGCCTGACTGGGTTTTTGGATGTTTTTGGAACACTGAGGTTTTGTTGTGTTTGTCCACTGTGACGTGACCCCAAACACATCCGTTGGACAAGCGCGACACCACGGTCAGCGACGACGGTCTTGAAGGTCTGACAGTCTGACTTTCTTGTGACGTTTGCGGCCGCTCCGTTCGCGACCCAAGGTGAGCTTCGGTGGCTGGTTCGGGGCAAGGATTTGGGCGTCGTCATTCTGGGCGAGGTGCTGGACTGGTAGGAAAACTGGAGGTGATTCAAACTTTTGAGAAGTTCTCAAGAACTGATGGTTCAAATTGAATTCTATCTACAAATGGGTCCAGCAGTTTCTCAGTACATGCCAAGGTGTCCAAAAAGAGCAAAACCTATGCCGATGACCAGAGTGGGCCGCTGAAATTTGGCCGCCGCCTGGTCTTGAACCTCATTTGATTAGGTAGCATGGAGAAAGGCTGAGATACGCTGCGTGGTGAAAAGATGCAACGAGTGCGGAGGGATAGCTTTTGATGCTGCTTTTACAGATAATGCTGACAAACTGTGATCAATTTTATCAATACCATGGGAGCAAGAGTGACCCTTCATCGTGCTCACCCAATAAAAAAGTTCTGTGTCGTATCCATGGACTCAACAAAACTCTTTGTGTGGCCTTTTGTGTTTGTGCGACATGTGAGGGGTGCTTCCCATGGGATCCGAAATCATCGCACTTTCGGGAACCGAAAAGACACATATCCTCACGACTTTCTGAAAGGGAATGTGTCGCGAGGAGGGTCCGCAAGGTTGCCAAACATACATATGGAACTCGTATGTACTATGGCGGAAACAATGTGATTAGGTGTCGGTGTATATATATATATATATGTATGTGTATATATCGCTGGAGCTGTTGTGCCTAGTTGTGGAGGCGGCGATGCTCTTAAGGGAGAAGGAGACAGCCGATTTCAAGGCGGCAATGCAGCTAATTATGAGGTCTAAGAATGGTCTGTATCTCAGGTATACTGTGTGTACACACGTGTCCACCGTATACATCAATGCTGTCACTTCACTTGTTTTGGCCTGCAGTTCGCGGTGTTTAGGAGGTAGTCAATGATTCTACAAGAACCGCAAAGGTTGACACCTTGTTTTCTCGAGCGCACTGGACAAACATGGCCTGCCTCAACACGCTGGTGGCGCCGGAAGCACTGCGCCAGGCCTTGGAGCTGGAGCTGGTGGATGGCATCCGAACCACCCAAGCAGCACAGGTGAAACTGCAGCAGGAGCGATGCTCCCGACACGGTGTGGACGGCGCGCGCTTGCTTTGCGCCGATGGTTGGAAAGCAATCCGATCCGTAGACACTTGATGTGTCTACTTGGTCAATGAGCAGAGCATAACAAATGCCCTTTGGGAGGCCATTGCTACTCGGTTGGAGGCCATCGCTAGTAGGTTGGAGGCCATGGCTACTAGGTTGGAGGCCATCGCTAGTACGTTGGAGGGCTATTAGGTTGGATGCCATCGCCAGTAGGTTGGAGGCCATCGCTAAGGTTGGAGGCCATCGCTATTAGGTTGGGGGCCAATGCTATTAGGTTGGAGGCCAATGCTAGTAGGTTGTAGGCCATCGCTATTAGGTTGGAGGCCATCGCTATTAGGTTGGGGGCCAATGCTATTAGGTTGGAGGCAAACGCTAGTAGGTTGTAGGCCATCGCTATTAGGTTGGAGGCCAACGCTAGTAGGTTGGAGGCCATTGCTCGTAAGTTGAAGGCCATCGCTATTAGGTTGGAGGCAAACGCTTGTAGGTTGTAGGCCATCGCTAGTAGGTTGGAGGCCAATGCTAGTGGGTTGGAGGCCATTGCAAATAGGTCGGAGGCCATCGCTAGTAGGTTGGAGGCCATTGCTATTAGGTTGGAGCCCAACGCTAGTAGGTTGGAGGCCAGCGCTATTAGGTTGGATGCCATCGCCAGTAGGTTGGAGGCCATCGCTAGTAGGTTGGAGGCCATCGCTATTAGGTTGGATGCCATCGCCAGTAGGTTGGAGGCCATCGCTAGTAGGTTGGAGGCCGTCGCTAGTACGTTGGAGGCCATCGCTATTTTGTTGGAGGTCATTGCTAGTAGGTTGGAGGCCAATGCTAGTAGGTTGGAGGCCATTGCAAATAGGTTGGAGGCCATCGCTATTTTGTTGGAGGCCATTGCTAGTAGGTTGGAGGCCAACGCTAGTAGGTTGGAGGCCATTGCCAGTAGGTTGAAGGCCATCGCTTTTAGGTTGGAGGCGATTGCTGTTTGGTTGGAGACGATTGTTATTTGGTTGGAGGCCAGCGCTATTGATACTAGGTTCTCCTTGTGGATTCCAGATGAGTGCGGCGAAGGACATAGTTTCTGCTGGCGGAGAGGTTCTGGGCGGCAAGGCTGCGAGGATTCCAAGAACGCTGGATGCAGTCTCTGAAAAAAACATAATGCAAAGAAGAGGTGAGGCCTTATTTGAGGGCATGAGACTCGATAAAATGTTTTCCAGGAGAATTGAACCATCGAGCCCTTTGTACATACACATACTGCACATACATATTCATACTGCTCATTCCTTCTTGTCTCCAGCAAGGCTGTATTCCTTCAGCAAAAGCGGCCAAGCAAGGCGCATCACCCGCAGATTTTGATGATTGCTTTACTATGTCGGACCAACAGTTAGAATATGAAACCATTGATTTTTCCTTAGGTACCTAAGGACATCTTCGAGTAGTAGGGTTTTCGACCCTAGAGGATTTTGACTTGGAGTTAGAATATGAACATGCAGTTAGAATATGGCGCAATGATGTTGGAAAGCATTCAAACTACTAGCAATGGCCTCTAAATGGCTACTAGCAATGGCCTCCAGCCTACTAGCACTCCAACCTACTAGCAATGGCCTCTATATGGCTGCTACATGTCATATATTTATATATCCTCCATATTCTATCTCTCACCCTGGAATTTCCATATTCTATCTGCTTTTTGGGCCTTAGGGTTTTAGGCTAAAACTATATTCTAACTGTACCCTAGACTTTTTTTTAGATTCTATCTGTCTGTCCATCACTGACTGTATGTTTCTTCAATTTGTTTTTGACTTCATGGCTGTACATGATTAAGACCCCGTTTGAAGCTTGCACTAGTGTAGACGGCAAATTGAGATATCCACAGTCGCTGCCTTTTCTGGAGCAGTGTGGACTTGCTCTCCAGGCCATGAAAGCCTTTAGCGATGTCATGGTGGAGACTCTGCAATGTCAGTGGAGTTGTTTCGGTCTTTCCTGGTGTTCTGGTGGTGCCGAGATTTGTTCAGATCAGAGTCCTCAGTCTTGCTGTGTTGACAAGTGTTTCAGAGTCAATACAATGATACCTGCAGATGCCCAATGCCAGAGCGTTTTTTCAAGTATTCAAAGATATTTAACTTCTTCTTCAACCACCGGTATTGTTCTCCAGATAGCGAGGGCTATTGGGGTCCATACTTCAAGTATAGGAAGAGGCCTGTGTGCGCTTTGGAACTTGGGTGCTGATGCCGCTGCAGGGTGCCGCTGCCAGACACGTGGCCATGTGCGCTTTTGGAGCTTGGGTGCTTGTGGCCGTGTGCGCTTGGAGCTTGCGCTTTGGAGCTTGTGTGCTGGTGCCGCTGCAGGGTGCCGCTGCCAGATGCGTGGCCGTGTGTGTGCTTTGGAGCTTGGGTGCTGGTGCTGCTGTCTGTGGTCGTGTGCCCTTTAGAGCCTGTGTGGCGGCGCTGCAGAGTGCCGCTGCAGTGTGCTGCAAACAAAATCTGTTTGCTATCCGGGATCTATGCTGGCGTATTTGAACTTACTATCACTTTCCACTTAGCGCCTTCAAGTCTAATAAAGCCAAGGCAGGACGAGTGGAGTAGGATCCTCTAAAAACTGCTGCCCACTCAGGAGTTCACCAAGGCTGCTGCGCTGACTAGCGAGGATGAGAAGAAGTGCCCAAGCTGCTGCCTGTTGACTCCGTTGATGTATGACTGTGGAGGTGGTCCTGGCTCACCACAACTTCTGACATCAAATGCATCACATGTATTTGTCGTTCTTTTCCAACACGTTGCTTAAAAACTTAATGGCTTGCAGGTACCCATCTTTGCTGGAACAGTTGGAGCAGTCAGCGGCGTTCCCAGCGATATTTCCCTGACGGAAACCACTGAAACCAACTCTTGCAACATTCCCCTGAACAATCGCGGACCGATCCTGGGAAAACACACGTCCTCCAGGTCATTTTTTGGA